AACAAGCATATAGACTATGAACACATTTTTAAGTAAATAATTGATGGTACATTTTTCTCCCCAGAACATCACTGATATATGTTTTTTTGTTTGTTTGTTTGTTTGCTATAACAAGTTAACATTCCTATGTTGTTAGAATCAAAAATTCAAGAAAAAGCAAAAGCAAAAAATGGAGTGTAGTATGAACACGATTTTATAGTTAATCAAGGGAGTCATTTTGACACCTCATTTTTTTTTTTGCATATTAGGTTTTGTGGTACATGTGAAGAATGTGCAAGATTGTTGCATAGGTACACACGTGGCAGAATGATTTGCTGCCTTCCTCCCCTTCACCTACATCTGGCATTTCTCCCCATGCTCTCTCTCCCTAACTCCCCACCCCTCAGTGTCCCTCCCTTATTTCCCCCCAACAGACCCCAGTGTGTGATGCTCCCCTCCCTCTGTCCATGTGTTCTCATTGTTCAACACCCACCTATGAGTGAGAACATGTGGTGTTTTTCTGTTCTTGTGTCAGTTTGCTGAGAATGATGGTTTCCAGGTTCATCCATGTCCCTACAAAGAACACGAACTCATCGTTTTTGATGGCTGCATAATATTCCATGTTGTATATGTGCCACATCTTCCCTGTCCAGTCTACCCATCTGACAAAGGGCTGATAGCCAGAATTTACAAAGAACTAAAACAGATTTACAAGAAAAAAACTAACAAGCCCATTCAAAAGTGGGCAAAGGATATGAAAGACACTTTACAAAAGAAGACATATATGAGGCCCACAAACATATGAAAAAATGCTCATCATCACTGGTCATTAGATAAATGCAAATCAAAACTACATTGAGATACCATCTCACACCAGTTAGAATGGCAATCATTAAAAAATCTGGAGACATCTCATTTTTATAAAGAAGCAAAACTAAAAACTTACAAGTAGCTGCTATTTATTCACATACTATATATTCATAAATATTGAGCTAGGTACTATGCTAACACAAATCCCTCTATTCAGCAGATAGTCTTTGAGCACCTATTATATGCTGGGCACTCTAACAGGCCCTGCGGATATACTGCAGATTTTCAACTAAAGTCAGGAAAACTAGTGAAGTGTGAAATCCTGTCAATCACCCAAAAAGTACAATATACATGCATTTTTTTGTAAAAAATGCAATATGATAATTACTTTTCTCAATAACATTGAACTAGATCAAGGTAAAGAATATAATAATAAAATATGTGCAAGTGCTTAACTATTTAAAACATTCAGACTTTAAGGCAACTATCACATTTCTGGCCACAGGAGTTTAGGCAAAGCATTTTAAATATTCCTTCTTACCCACAGCATTTATTGTTTTATTTCATATTCAAATTTCAAGAATATTAATGCATGTTAATTTATTTCATTTTGCTTTGGAAGTTTAAGAAGTGGTATCTTATTTGAGAGGAGGGGGATTGGAGACTAGAGTGAGAGGGATGAATATGTTTATAATGGACTCCATCCTGAAGGCATTTTTTTATTGCTCACAATAATAGTCAGCTAGGTAATGTTGAGGGTTTCGGCTGGGCTTAATTATGTGATTGCAATTAGCTGTGGGTCAGGAAGACAATTTTGTTGCCTTCAAAAAGACATGTTTGAGGTCAAGTGGTTTAAGACACACTCATTTGGAAAACCTGGGTGCTCTCATCCTTCACAGGGTGATGATAGGGTTCCAACACAAATTAGGAAGACAGTTTTCACATCAACCAAGTGCTGTTGGTCAAAGTAGTCAGATGGCCAGCGCTACATGAAAGTGAAGGGGAATTATCAAGTCAAAAGCAAATGATATGAATATAGGGGCACCATTAGTGGAAGTCATCAATGCAATCTGCCACACTGTTAAACAGTCAAGCACCATCAATCCTGTGTCATCATGGGCACATGTACCAAGGTTTGCAAAAGTACTAAGACAAAGGACCCCTTACATTTCCTTAGTGCAGACAGAGTTGTGACTCCTTTAAAAAAAGTGATTTATTTTGCTTCTGAGTCATTGCGTATTCCTTTCCTCTGTCCAGCTGAAGAGCTAGTTTGATCTGCTCTTTAAAAATGCTTTCTTTTCTCCTTCTTCTGTTTTATACTATGAATTTCTTTGCCTGGAAATTCTAGGCATAATTTCAGTGTAATAGAATAAGCCACAGTAAATACCCAGTCACACAGCCTACTAAAACCATAAATCACAGGAAATAGCAAGTGTAAGAGATTAACACTGAAGCTGAAACCCAGTTTTCCTTGTACACTCCTCTGGAATTCTGCGATAACATACACTTTCTTGAAGGGACATCTTGTGGAACTGGTGACACAGTATGGTGAGGTTTAAGCATAAAATACATAGGCAATTAGGATGATAAACGTTTTTTTAAAAATAGGACTACATCTTTTCATAGACCTTAATGGTTCATGTGAAAGCATTTGGAAATTTCCACACTCTTCAGGAAAAAGAGTATTAACTCAACAAAGGAGAATAATTATAAGAACATAAGGATAAATTATCAGATACTAGGATTAATTCTCCTAATGCTAGAGAAAATCACTTCAACCCAAACAGAAAAAAAGACTGAATGATAACCGACACTCATTTCATGGGAGATCCCACCAAGAATTTCTGAAAAACCAATCTGCAAAAACCAAGCATCACCTTGGAGAGTTTCCATGGTAGCCAACAGAGCTGTATCCTGTTTGACTCTCACTTTTCTGATCCCAGAGGTGAGTTTCACCTTGTGAAAATTCCTACCATGCCATTCTTATACAGATAAATCATAAAACTTAATACAACATAACCTCATTATCCACATACTTGCTTGGGATCAATGCAAGATAAACATTTCTTGACACAACCACATGAACAGTAAGCCAAGGAGTATTTCTTCCAGCCTTTGAATGTTCAATTCCAAGGTTTGCTCTCTCCTGAATCGTGGTAGTACAACCTAAATGTTTTGCCTGAATTTGGCAATGCAATTTCTATTGTCTTTTGTTTGCCCACAAATAGAATGTTTTCATGTAATTGTTATATTTCAGGAGGTAAATTATATATTTAATATAGAGTTTAAAGTGTATGCATATAAAAAGTGTACATTAAAATATTCCACCTTATTTCTTAACTTAGATTTCCTCTCAGAAGCAGCAACTCATAATTTTGCTCTTCTCTGAGAATAATTCTATGAATATCTAATCAAATTGTTTGTATAAAAACTCCTTTTAGAAAAAATAAAATGTCAAATATACAGAACTGCGCCTTGTTTTTTTTCCCCTAAGACGATCTTAGAGATTGTAGTCATTACCTAATAGAGTGCCTCATTTATTTTAATAGCTACATGATAATGCATTGTGTGAATGCATCATAACTTATTTTATTAGGTAATTAGATTGCCATTGAGATAAATTCAGGATAAAGCAACAGTTTAAACTAGTAAAAGCCAAGGGTCATGGCTAAGAGTTTCCCTTGGAGCACAATCAAATTAGCATTTGTCACATAGTGACCAAGCCCTGCTCTTCTGAAGCTAGAAGGAAGTCCCTAATAAAATGTATGATTTATTTGAGGCAAACCAAAACATATCCTTATAATTGGCCTTTCAAACACATTTTTACTTTTTCACATATTTTCTTGTGCTTTTCACTGAAAGCCATCCCTGCTAATTTTCACCAATTGTCAGTATTATTCTTGTTAAATTTCAATTGTCAAATTCCATTTTCTTCTGTAAGATTCCCACCATGACCCCCATAACCACAGAACAGGAGGTGATTTTTTTCTCCATCAATTTTCTTTAGACTCAGATTTGTAACATTGTGTCATCTTGAATTACGGTTATATATGTATTTTTGCATGCCTCCTCTCCTTTGCCAGATTGCAAGCCCACTGAAGTCTGTGATATAGAAAACAAACACCTATCCTTCACAGGATTGTCAAAGAGCTTTGCATACACATTTGCACACAATAATATGTGTTGCATAAATACATTCCTAACATCTGAAGTGGGGTAAGTAACTTAATTCTACATGGTATTGGACTGAAATATTTGAACTACATTGATATGTTATTGCAGACTTTTAAAATCTCAACAAATATAATAATTCAATAATTTATAAAAGGTATTTAGTATCTTCAATATTCTATAGTGTTTAATACACACATTTTGTTTTTCTAGAAGTATTGCATAACAAGTGAGTCTCCCTCTTTGGGTCACAACCTGTGTAGGTCAAAACAAAACTTTTCCAAACAGCCTTGGTCAAGAGCTAACAAATCGTGTATACAAAACATTTTTAATACACCATAAAACAAAAAGGGCTACTTATTATTCACTGTTATAAATCATCAGTCAATATTTTCTCTCCTCACTATTCTTGGAGCATAAAGAAGCAATAAATTTTAAAGCAAATATGTTGAATTATTTAAAATTATACTTCTCAAATATGTCCCATCCAAGGATAAAATTAATTTATTCTTATTTCCATTTTGGATTTGACCATATATTCTTCTGAAAACCTGATGTAAGAGTAAACTTTTTGGGAATTCTCTATAACAACACACCTAGGCAAGAACTGGCTACTACCTTCAGTCCTATGTGTATTTACGTATACCTAGCTTTAACTATTAGAAACAATAGGCTTCTAGAACAATCTTGAAATGACAAAAATGTGAGGCATTCAATAAAGATATAGAGACTTAAAAATCTCTAGTAACGAATATGGAAGAAATCATAGCAGAAGTACGATATAGCATCAATATAGCAACAGTAAATAATGAAATTCATAATTTAAAACAAAATTTGATTTCACCAAATGTTGGCCATATACACCCTTCTATAGCTTAAGTCTATGCCTCTCTAGATGTCTGCCATCCAGTCCCTTCCTATCTTATGTAATAACTGGGACAATTCAAAATATCTAAAATAATTAAGATTAGTCTTTCCAAACCTGAAAGTTTAACTGTTGAGTGCCTAATATATATTCAATGTATGTAAAGGAAACTTACCTTCTGTGTGCACAGCTGATACATAGGTCCAGTTGTACCTCTTCACTATGTCCACCATGGCCCTTGCCTGCTGAGCATCTGAAGGCACAACCCTCATGAAATACTTGAACAGAGTCTTGTCACTCAGATCCATGCTGGTTGCCGAGTAAGCAATCTGAGGTATGTTGAAAAGCTGGAGCAAGTTCTGGACCTGAATGGCTACAGAACTGGAGCCAGGCCCAATGACCCCTACTATGGGCTTCTTGGAGCGGAAGGAAGAGGAAGAGCCATCCACACAGCGTACCAAGCCCTCTTCCTCTTCTGAAGAAATGAGGGAATCTCTTATGAACTCAATGCTCTGCTCTAGGGCCACAGCCGAATGCCAGCAGGAATCCCTTATCTCACAGCCCAGTGTGATGTTGGGCAAGAGTGTGGGGTCTGAATTGATTCTTTCCAGGGTGTGCAGCATGGCCTCCACTCTCTGAATGCCATACTGTTCACGGACCGCCCCACACTTCCTCTCATGAACTTTGTCCACAGTAGGCTGGTGATGAACGGAAAAGAGAGCTCCGATAATGATGTCACCTGGCATGTGAGCCACCACCCTCCTCTCACTGGACTGTGCACTCCCACGGACATCTTCTTTCAAAAGTAAGACTGACAGGATCAACAGAAGGACCATTTTAGGAAAGGAGTTCAAGCTAATAAAGATAGCATGGTGGGGAAAATTCAGGAGTGTTCTGAGAGATGTGAACAAGCAATGTCCTATGTGGAGTCGCACATCTAGAAATTAGCCACCAATTCAGATGTATTCTCTAAAGGACCATTGTGTCACCATGTACCATTTAGCTAGATGATCCATATGACCATAATCTTCAAAACCTGAAAAAAAAAAACATAGGTCTTTAACAAACATAAGCGTAACTAGTCTGGAGAAGTTCTATGATTCATGTCAGCAGAGAAAGGACGTTTTAATGATGCAGATAGCCAAAAAAAAATCCAAAAATATTTTCTGACTTTACATTGCCTACATCCTTTGTGATCTGATGAAGCAGCTGATGTAGCTTCTTGACCCTGTCTTGCATAGATTAATATTCTTTATTTGTTCACCTGCAATACACAAAACCAAATTTTGTATGTGGCAGGCAGAACTGTACTCTCAGGCAGAGGTGGGAGACCATCCTAGAAGCAAAACTACACCATGAACAGAAAACTTCAAGACGTATGCACCCCAGAGGATTAAACAGCATTGATCTCTCGGTAATGGAAGTGTGAATAACTGTTTTTAAATTTTCATTATGCTTTCTCTTCTTTTGAAGTATTTAGCATTGATCATGTAATTAATTGTGCAATTACAAAAACAAAATTATCTTTTCAAAAATACCCCACATATTCTCTCTCCCAAGGAAACGTCAAGCAAGTTGAACAATCTTCCCTGGAATAAATGAGTGCTGTGTTGAATTAATGTAGAAGATATACCAAAAACAAATGGGGCAAAGTAGGTGTTTCATGGTAAATGTACTGTAGAAGAGAAAGGAAAAGGTTAGGATATTAGAGAGTAAAGTGTCCCCCAAATAGGCACAAGAAACAGTGAAATTAGCACCAACTTTTAGAAAAAAGAATATTCACATTTTAATCCCTGCTCTTCTATGAAGAAGTAGTAGTAAGCTGTTTAACTTCTCAGTTCCAGAATTTGCTCACCTGAAAAATGGGGATACTATGTGCTAGGCTGTCCCTATGGGAATCAATATAACATATCAACTACGTAAATGATTTATAAATTAAATTGGGCTATATATATTTAAAACGACTTTTCTGGTATTAAATTTTCAAGGGCATTCTGTGGCTAGGTGGTGAGAACAGAAAATTCTCTGGCAACTCACTTGGTCCTCCAGAGAGTCTTCAAAGTAATTACAGAGTCTTGTAATAAAATTCACAGTAATCAGTCCTCCAGCCCCGATCCAAAAAAATTCCACATCACTAAGGCTCAAAGGGCTAAAAGGATGTATGTTTGTAACTATTCTGCCAGGTAGAAGTTTAGGATAGCTATGAATGTCATCATCTATTTCAATTTAAATTCCTGGGAAGAAAGAAAATTTGTTCCAAGTTTTCTATGGCAAATTCTAGCATAATTTGTAAAAGAGAACTGGCAAATTAGTAGTTTGATTACTTAAGGGGATTGTGTAAGAGACTTATTTTGTTATCAACTCTGCCAGCCAAGGATCTCCACTTATTTTAAAGTTACTAACTTCCTAAGCACTGACTTTCAAAAACGGGTGATGTTCCTGCAGGAATGTATGTAAATGTCACACTTTTACAGGAACACTAATGGTCTGAAAGCTCATTAAATCTACAAAAAGTCCAACCCAGACACAAAATGAATGTAACTTGAATCACATTTCTAATCACTCCCATCATCATTTTCACTATTTCCTTGTACTGTTTTCTATGGCAACAGAGAAAGTCTTCCTCTGTACAGCACCAACTACTTATATTTTAAAAATTTTATCCAATAACCCAAGAGACATTTGGAAACATATAGAAAAAGACAGTTTTAGCACAAAAGTTGGGATTGTGGACAAGGGAGAAGAAATAAAGACTAATGTTAGTTTTCTCCTGAATATTACCAAATTTTCTTTCAATTTCCTCAGACCTAAAATAATTATTCTCACGGTAATGTGAATTCTACCGCAGACAAAAAGAAAAATCTGAAGTTTAAAAAAAAGTACAATTTCTTATTAAATCAGAATTCTAGTGAGCAAACAAATAACAAAACAGGACTCATTTTCTTAGGTAAGAACATCAAAGTGATGTGAGAAAACAATCACTTTGATCCCATCAAGCTTGTGTAGCTGACATATCAATCCCATGCATTTTATTCATTTGTTTTATGAAAGCCCTACATATGAGATATAATATACATACTAAAACACTAAAATATTGCCTTTTGAAGTTATGCTAAATTTGTTACTTATTTCATTTAACAACAAAAATTTCACTATTGAGTGGAAGAGACTAATGTGACAAAGAAGTGTAATAATATGCATTTATAAGTATCATCATCTTTCATCAAGCACCTATCATGCCCCATCTATTTATTAACTCACTTAACAAATATTTATGGTACACATATGCTTTAATTCTAGTCTCGGAATTGGATATTCAAGAGTGAGCAAAGTATACAAGCTCCCTATACTCGTGGGCCTTACATATTGGTATTCTAAAGGGTAACTTTTAGTTGAAAGCTGATGAATGGAAATAAAAATAAGGATCAAATAGTATTTCTATCTTTAGATCTTTGAACAATCACTACACTGTCTTCCATGATGGTTGAATTAATTTACATTCCCACTGCAGAAATACCGTTAAACCCAGCAATCCCATTACTGGGTATATACTCAAAGAAATATAAATCATTCTATTATAAAGAAACATGCATACATTTTTTCATTGTAACACCATTCACAATAGCAAAAACACGAAATTGACCTAAATGCCCATCAATGATATACTGGATAAAGAAAGCCTGGTAAATATATACCATGGAATACTATGCAGCCATAAAAAAATAAGATCATGTTTCTGGAAGGGACATGGATGGAGCTAGAGGCCATTAACCTTAACAAATTAAAACAGGGACAGAAAACCAAATACTACATGTTCTCACTTATAAGTCAGAGATGAATGATGAGAACACATGGGCACTTAGAGGGCAACAACATTCACTGGAGCCCATTGGTGGGTGGGAGGAGAGAGAGGGTCAGAAAAAATAACTAGTGGATACTTGGCTTCATACCTGGGTGACGAAATAATATGTACAACAAATCCCCATGACACAAGTTTATCTATGTAACAAACCTACACATGTACCCCTAAACTTTAACAAAAGGAAAAAAAAAAAAAAATAGAAGAATGAAAAAAAAAGCCAGTCATATAAAAAATGTGCCCAGAATATGAAGAACTTGGGAGGAATGGTGATACAAGACGAAAATGGAAAGACAATTACGGTCCAGGCCACGTAAGATGTTGTAGGCTCTTATAAAGAATTTTAATGTTGGCCGGGTGCAGTGGCTCATGCCTACAATCCCAGAACTTTGGGAGGTCAAGGCGGCTGGATCACTTGAGGCCAAGAGTTCAAGACCAGAGAGACAAACATGGTGAATCCCCATCTCTACTAAAAATACAAAAATTAGCCAGATGTGGTGGTGCACACCTGTAATCCCAGCTACATGGGAGGCTGAGGCAGAAGAATCACTTGAACCCAGGAGCCAGAGCTTGCAGTGAGCCAAGATTGTACCACCACTTCACTCCAGCATAGGGTGAGAGAGTGAGACTGTTTCTTAAGAAAAAAAAAAAAAGAATTTTAATGTTAAGCACAACAGGAAGCCATTGAGATTTAAGCAAATGACTGACACAGATTAATTTTAGAAAGGATTAACTGGCTTCCCATTTTTCTGGATAATCAATTGGAGAAATCTTATAAGGAAACTGGTAATAATCTAGCAAGAAGTGACGGTGGCTTCTCTATGATTGGTGACAATGGATATGGGGAGAAGTGGTCACAGTAGGATATATTTTCCAGGTAGAATCAACTGTACTTACTGATGGACTAAATGTGAGTAGCAAGGTAGAGAGAGAAATCAGAGTCTACTCCTAGGCTTCTAGTTTGAGAATCTAGTAAATTTGGACAGCATTAATAGTGATAGGATATACTAGTACATAAACAGGTGAGGGCAGAAGAAAATTAATGATTTTCTTTTGAAAACGCTAAATTTGAGATGCCTTTTGAGGCATACAGGTACAGATCTCAAACAGGAAAGTGGATAGGTAAGGTTGGCCTCAGGAGAGAGTTTTGATTTAGATATGTAAATTGAGGGTCATCAATATACAAAATATATAGAATGTATGAAATCACCTGGAGAGGAAGTATAAATATTGTAAACATAGAGCTAAAAAGTAAACTCTCCTGAGGAGCCAATTTTGGGAAAAGCCAACTACGAAAAGGGTGCAGCCCAAAACGTAACATAAAATAAGAGTACGTGGTGTCATAGAAACCAAAAGAGAATGTTTTAGGCATTTTATTTTCAAAGACATATACAAGGCTTATATATTTCAGAGAAAAACGCAGTTGATTCACATGGAAAATATTATAATCCATGTGGACTCTATACCTTGAAGATTTTTGACACAATGTCTATGTCTTTGAGTGAGTCTGTGTCAGGGGCATATGTATATCAATAATCCTTATAACAACCCTACAATGTAGGTTGAGCAACCCCTACATAAAATGGATGGGACCAGAATTCAGATTTCAGAATCTTTCAGATTTTGAAATAGTCACATTATACTTATTTATTGCTTGAGCGTTCCAAATCCTAAAATCTAAAATCTGAAATGTTCTTTTGAGCGTCATGTGGTTATTCAAAAATGATATAATTCTGGAGCATTTCAGACTCTGATTTTTTGAATTTGGGATGTTTGAACTGTATTATTTTATTACTATTATTTTACAAATGACATAATGAGTTTTGATAGGTTAAAAACTAGCCAATCAAACACTTTTGTCTATGCTTGTTGACTTTATAAAACATTGTTTCAACTATTCCTTGCTGCCTCACAGCCCCTTCCTACCAAATTAAAGATATTACCAATGTCCATGCAAATGAGAAGGGCCACCCAGAGGCAATTTGAACATCCCAGAGATATAGAATCTTACAGGAGTCATGTTTCAAACTATATGGTAAAGAGCATCCCAAGGAAAAAATGATTCAGCACAGACAAACACAGAAGGTACAAGTGTGTAAGTTATCTAGTACAAGGGTATTTACATTGCCCTGATATCCACCCACAAATTATGGCCCATCAGGTTACAAAGCATTACT